CAGAAAAATGACTGAAGAAGAAACTCGTTGTTACTCTTTTGATTATTCCAAATTCATTTTTGGACAATGATTCATTTGTTTGAATTCCTTGTACAATGTTTTACCTTGCTTCATGGTTAGTACTGATTCGAATAACAAATCCAGGAAATATTCATTTTGCCGATTGTCTCTGCTTTTGGAAACAATTTTAATTCAACTCTTTCTGCTTTGAGCAACGCTCAATTAACTCACGTTGGAGGTTTATTGGCTGAGAAATCATGTCTTTTCTTTTCAACACTTCGTCCTTTTTCACCGTCGTCGTTCCTCTAAAAGAAGCAAAAGAGTCGGCTTTCAGGTTATTGCTCGGCAAATTTGAGAAAATTGCTTAAATGTCCGTTGACATTGCAAAATTGATTTGCGTAAATTGACAAATTAGTGTTATTGAGCAGGTTGAGGTTATTTTTAGCTTCTGCTTTGAAAATGCATCTTACTTTTTGGGGTCCTTAAGGGTTAATTACAGAATAATGAGGAAGTACCACTGAAGAAAAGCCCCGAAATCTTGCAACTCTGACATCTCATGTGAGAGCGTTTTGCTCATCTGGTTATGAATGTCTCCTGTTATCTTGTGTTTAGCTGTCAATCTTTTCGAAGCCTACTTCATGTTGTCACTGAGAATTTTCTCTTGTCTCAAATTTTTAGTGTTGATACGACCTCGTATTTTTCTCCATCAAAAAAGTTATTCTTTCTGGATCGGCTGTGTTTTACTTGTTCTTTCTAGATCCATTGTATATTTTTGAATGAAAAAATTTTTCGATTGTGCCACTATGTTTCCTAGGCATCCGTCTACATAATGTCTCACCCATTAATATTTTTAGTGTCCACGACCCTGAAGCCCAACGAATTGTTTTTTGACGGCTTCGATAAGACCTCTTTTTGGAGGAGTATATTCACATATTTCCTTGATATTGAATGATTAGAAAGGGCCAGAGCTGCATATTTTGTCTTTTTAATCCTTATAATTAGTTAAGTCAAAGCCAATTTCTTCTGTAGGGAGCGCGACGAGCCGAAAAAAACTTAATCACTTCGTTGTTGTCCATTGAATTGATGAGGGTTGCCACCCGGTCTAATTTCGTATTTGCGGGTCTATGAACCCCTGCACTATTTATGGTTAATTACCAATTGCCAGAAGATGAGTTTCTCTCGGAGATTTTACGATTAGTCACAGTAAATCCGTTGTCTCACAGGGCAACTATTTCCTCTGTTTTTTGTTGGTACAAGAGACAAGCACTTTTTTGAAGTGAAACATTCCGCTACTTCTAGATGACGAAGACAAGACCGATTAAGTCTCCAATTTTTATTTCAGCTGCTTTGTACTCTTTCGCTCCATTTCTTTGGTGCAAGAGCCGGTTATGCTTTTGTGCATCTATCATGGCAACTTTTGTGGCCGTATGAAGGCCACATCAAGGCAACACTAGAGCTCATTCTCGAGTCATGCCTTTTCTCAATTTGTGGTCATGCCTTTCCGCAGCTTACAATTCTTTGAGTTTGGAACAACTAACTGTTCATCTTCTAATTTCAACTGGTTTTCAGCTCTATCTATAAGGAGATACTCATAGCCCTGTGTTTTTCTCTCAAATGCTTTAGGATGCGCCACAAGTATCAATTTTGTGGTTTTTGCTGGTTTTTGGATTCCCCGGAACGTTTAAATTTTGCGTACAAGTGCAATGTTTTTCATCCAAGTGCTGAAATTTTCACAACTGAAATCTCCAATGGAACAATTTGATTAAACTGATTGACTGAGAGACATGCAGTCTTTTGAAATGTTGATTTTGAACTTCTCTGCTTAAGCAAAAAAAAATAAGAAATCGGCCAAACTTTCTATCAAGAGCATGCTGAACTACTGTATGTATCTCTATAATAGCTTAATTTGTTGTTGGTTGGTTTCGTTTTTCCAATATACAATGTTTTGAAGCAAATCATCTGAATGCTTTTGTCTAGCGTGGCGCAACAGACATTCGCTAGAAAAAGAGCCTTCCGGCTGTTCAAGAGGTTTCCGGTTGAACACCGAAAACTTCAGCTTCAGTCTATCAAAAATCGGGTCGCCTTGCACCATCATCACACTGAATTTTTAACTGGTTCGGAAATTATTACATGGATGGCGCCTGATTTGCTTGTTTTCAACTGCGTTTTGTTTTTTGAAATGTTCCGTTACCTCATTTGCTTTGAAAAATGCTTTCGCTAAGCTTTTTTTCAATGAACTGTTTTTCTTTGCTCTAGTTTGAGAATGCAAACTATCAGTTTCGTGGGAGCCGTCAAAAGCAAGGTTGTCGATAGACAGTCAAGCAAATTTTCCGACCCGTGAGCTGACAAGACTAATTGTATCGTCTTCATGACACAAAATCAAAGCATTTGAATTCTTGCCGGATGGCTTCCTTTTTCGAAGTTTTTGTGATTGCAATCTAGTTTTTAGCTCTCTGTTTTTTGTTTTCAAGCTTGGCTATTTTTTTTTCAAGTTTCCATGTTTTTTTCTTGTAATTGACTTATTCAGCTTCTAGTTTGCGTTGTCAAATAGCTTGTTTAAAATCTAGTTCAAATTTTCTTCCCTGCGGCGGCATCTTTACGCTCTTTTTATCTAAATTTATTATTTTTTTGCTGCATCTATCGCCAGACTTAAGCTTCCACTAATTTGAAAAGAAAGCCTTTACTTTTTTTCAGCTTGCATTTGACTCGGAACACTTGACTCAGCACACTTTAACTCAGCACACTTTTGACTCGGCTCACGCTTGCTTTTGACTCACTCACGATCGGTCTAAAGGAGAACACAGTAAAGCTAGTTTTGATGGGAGCAACAGTTTGTAGCTCTTCAGCCACTATTTGATTTTTTCAATAAAAGCGTTTATTCTCCCTATTTGTGTGTTTCTTCGATACAATATCTACTGTCTGATTCTGTGTAGTCAATTAACTGTCTAGTGCTTGCAATTTTTTTGACTTGGTTGTAGTAGTTTACTACTTTGCTCTAATTTTCAATTTTTTCTTGCAACCCTCAATATATGGCAAACTGAATTGCCACAATTATCATTGCTTGAAATTCTTGAGGAGGTATTTTGGAGCCTCTTTTCTCATTTTTTTTACTTTGTTTCAGTTTTGAGAAGAAGCATTTTTTTTGCAGGTAATCTTCAAGTCATCGATGTTCTTTGCTCTAATATTCAATCCTCAATTTTATTGCAATCCTCAATATGTGGCGAACTGATTTGCCATAATTATCGTTGCTCGTAGTTTTTGAGGAGGTGTTTTGGAGCCTCTTTTTCCACTTCTTATCACTTTATTTGAGTTTTGAGAAAATTCGTTACTTTTTGTTCGTAATCTTGAATTCACCGATGTTCTTGAGCTTTTTGAACTTTTGTCTGAAACTTTTTCAGTTTTGGTTGAATGATTGGCTTTTTTTTGAAGTTTTTTGTAATTTCGAATCCCATTTTTGATCTCTGCTTAAAATTTTTAAAAATGATGCATATTTTAATGTCTCCTAGTCTTAGTTTTGTGATTTGGTTTTTTCATTTTCTAGTTCGCATTGACTTCTAGCTACTTGCTTCTTAGCAAAAAATTTTTTTTAAATTGTTGCTTTCAAAGTGAGCCAGCCACGTGTCTAAACGTGTGAAGGGTAGAAACCAAAGAAAAAGCAAATTATAGAAAAAAAAACAGCAGGATTATGTAGTAAGACGCCCGTTTTTCTATTTGGCACTTGTACTCCAATCTCCAACCTGCAGTTTTTCGAGCGGAGAAAAAATGTTTTTCTTTTTTTTTATCAACAGGTTGAAACCTCTATTCAGTGCAACTTCCATTCAGTTATAGCCTGACGAAGTTTTCACAAAAATTTTATTGTTGAGAAAGTCAATTTTTTTTGACAAATTTTGAGAATCAAGTTTGAAATCACGCAAAACGTAAACTTGAAAAAACTGTATAGGCTGGCGGATCAAATTTTTACGCTATTGATTTTTTGTCTCAGATAAAAGAGTGTCACGCCGGCCTTGATTTGTTCGTGAATTCTGGCACTATCTTTCCAAGTGATGAAAAAGTGTCCACAAATATAACTGAGAGGAGTATATCTAAAAATTGATATATACATTTACAAAAATAGGTACTTGCTGCCGATTGCTGAACACTCATTTTTGTTCAAAATTTTAGCGGATCAGGTGGTTGATGGATCGAAGTTTTGCCCTATTTTTTGCTCAATTAGACAAGTGTTACGCCGGCATTGATCCGCTCATAATTTCTAGTATTCTTTTTCCTGGTGATGAAAAAATGTCCACAAGTATCAAAGAAAGGTCTATATTTAAAAGTTGAATTCGTTTTTAAATCAAATTAAGCAGTAGCTGCGGATTGCTAAATACTCAATTTTGTTTCAAATTTTACAATTCAAATCGCTACCTAAAAAATGAGAGTAAAACTTACATAAAAAATATAAACCTCATAACAGACTTAATCAAATTTATTCACAGAAAGTTTGTCATAGTGCCCTCTATTGTTGTGACGCATACTAGCACAAGATGTAGCATTGTGTTAAGATATATACCTAGTGATTTTTGTGGCCAAGAAAAATGTTGAGACAGAAAATGAAGGATTTTAATTTTGATATTTAAAAATTTTACGGAGATGAGAAATTTTTGAGTCAGAGGTCGCTATAAAACATTTTATTGTAAAATTCCTGAAAAATGCTCCATTAAAACATGATTTTTCACTGAAAAATTAGTCTGGCTTTGTTGTTAGAAAGATTAAAACACCTTTGAATGGGGGCTTTGAATCTGCTGTTGGGCTCTTTTCCTTTCCCCATACTTGAAATTCATTTTTGAAAGCTATTTCAGCGATATCATAATCTGTTTAAATTTGTGTACGGGACAGAGAAAAAATTAACTATTGTGAACAGATTTATTCTTCATTTTTACATCATAACATTAAAATTTCGGCCATATCAACGCGCAAAACTATGAAATGTAAACTGGAAATGATTGCTTATTTTTTGACAGGAGTTCGAGAAGACCATGAAGTGGGGTTTTGAGACACGTGACAGATACTCCGATGTGGAAGATCATGACTTGCACCTTCCTTATATGGACCGAGGAAACTTAATTGTGGATGCACTTGCTTCTGCCAAAATCGGTCTAATTTCCTACAGGTGACTACACGGAAAAATACTCAATTTTTTAACTCACAGTTTGACGTAGCACAGCTGCTATGCAATAGCAGATTTAGGGGGCGGGAGCGGACGCCTTTTCCGGCAGCGATTTGACCCGCTGACGACCAAGTGTACCCTTCTGATTTAAATTTAAAACATCCTTTCTTGGCTGACTGAGCCCTAAATTGTCGCCAATATATACTAATTTTGAGATGGGACGGCTCGCCAAAAATCAGCGCAGTTTTTTTTTATTCAAAGCCTTCCAAAACGTGTCTGAACAACCGTCCCACCCCCACTCCTTCTAAGTGACCTACCGTAGAATGTCTTCCCCAAGCATAAGCATATATTAATTTTGGAAATAATCCGCATAAAATATTCATTTAAAGCGAGCGCGTTGAATATATTGCTGGAGACACTTTTTATACCGAATAGCCAGTCGCAGAAAATTTTTGAAGAAACAAGCTAAAAATGATTTTATGAGTACCTTTAAATAATATTGATTACAAAATTGTGTTTTTTCGGCGCATGATCCCCCCTATAAATTAGTTATAATGTTCTAAGTCCAAAGGTGCCTTTCGAAAACTTTTGATGTTGACAAGCCAAAAAATTTGGCAACCAGAATTGAGGGGGAGAGGCGGTCTAAAGTTTGAAGCTTTGCATATTTCTGCCGTGTTTATGTTCGGCCAAATTAATATGAAGTCCCTGGAAATGCTTATTTTCCTTGAGATGTTGGTATACAGAAGTATGATTGGCTAATGTTTGTTTCAGCCCATTCAGTCCTTAGCCTACGAGGGATTCCACCACTGTTATGATTGTAAAATTTTCTGAATTAGAGGACACGAGCACTCTGTAAGAGTACCTATGTTTGTAGATAACATGTCCCCTGGAAGCATCATTATCATGGAGTTTTTATCAGCAGAACTTTTACAAGTTTGTAGAAGATACCAAAGAATTTGCATAGGAAAAGTTTTCACGATTTTCTAATAAAAATTTGAGCACGTTTATGCTTCATATTTCGTTTAAGTACAGCTCAAGTTTAAGTAAGGCTCAAGTTTAAATTAGTTTTCATGAGTCAATGAACATAGTTTTGTTTTTCAAGCAATGTCTTTAATTTTGTTCAAACTAACATTTTTTTATGCCGCTTGACTTTCAATTTATTTTTAAGTTTTGCTCTTTCTTTTGTTAAAAGAAAGTCAAACTCTACAATCGAAGGTGATCGGCTTCTAGTTTCAAAAATGAAATTCACTTCTCAGTTTTTCGAGCGAAATAAAAAGTTTTCCTATTGATCGAGTTTCCTCAAATTAGATTAATTTTATCAAAAAGCTCAAACTAAGAAATTCAAAAAGCTTTAAGAGCATCTTTTTTTTTGATTTTCGAAATTTTGAAATTTTTTTTTGAAATTTTTTTTCAAATATTAAGTCAGTTTTTTTCTGTTTAATTGCTTTCATTGACTCGTTTCCAACTGTCTGTTGGCTCTGTATCTTTTCAATGCTGACCAAATTTGATTTGGTAAGCTAATAAATCAGAAAAATACTTCGGAAATTCTCACTTTTTGATATTGCTCAGTGGGTGAGAAAGAGGATTTTTTCAAAATGTTGATTTGTTTTTTTTCCGACTTTCGAAGAAAACGGAACTCTTATGCTTGAGGTGGTTTTTTTATTCAGTCCTTGTTCGGCGATCAAAATAACAATTTTTAACAAAAATTTCATATCCACTTGAAGATATTGAAGATATAGACAAAATCACCCAAAAGCCAATCTGGCCATGCTCTGGACTAATATATGCGCGTTTCGTACATTTAATCCATAAACCTGAAAACTTAACGATAATTTTTTATACGTGGCGGTTAATCCCGCAGAAGACAATTTTTCCAAATTGAACTTAGGCTAACTAATTGTTATATTAATTTATTGGTATTAATTTCATGCGACTCAAATTTTTCTACTTCATCTTTGAATTTTCGTTTCTCAAAAACTATTCGATATAGATTAAGGGGCAGTCGGAACATTTAGTGTTTCGCCCTGATATATGAGCAGTCTAATTTGACTTTACGTTGCTTAAGAACACTTCAAACACAACAAGCTGTAGTCACAAATTGCATTTATTTCTCTTCAGGTTTGGCAGAATTGTTTTGAGGTTTTCTATAATTTAAAAAATATAATTTTAGATAACTTTTGGTAACAATTCGAAAAACAAATTCCGAATTTTGGTTGCAATTTTTTTGTCTTTGTTTTTGTCTTTTTATCTTCTGTCTTTACGAAAATTTTTTAAAAAACATACGTAATGACGCTTATACTAAATGAGAAGTAACCATGGGAAACTCTCGAAAGATTACCTCCGACCTGCAATGGCTTAAAACAAACACTGATTGCCGCGCAAAATCTTAAAAACTATAAAATTATACGTAATGGTAGACTTATAAACATCAGGTATATACATAATGGATTGTCACTGCGTTCTATTTAACCCGTTAATTGCTCTCTTTAAATAATAATTGAACTATACCTAACATTTTGTGTATTTAGGAAAGCAATTCAGTTCTCTTCGTCTGTCCTTATGATCGAAAACAGCCAAGGAACGATTGGACTGGCCCTGGATTTGAACTTTGGACTCGGTGATGTGTTTGTGCGACTGACCAGACACGGATACGGATACTTGGTTGACAAATTCGTCATAAAACACTTGGGGTATGTACCCGCCCAAATTAAGGTGTCCTACCGATTTTTTTTTTGCTAAAGACGGGGATCTCGACACGAGTTTTAAGACACTGCAGTTTCTTTTGTTACATTTATATCAATAAAACAAAACTGTAGTCAATATCCTTTTGGGTCAATAAGCGTTTTTCAGTATATTACAGGCACTAGTGTTGTTGGTTTTCAAAAACTTTGGTTTTCTATTGTATTTCGATTTATAGGAGACTGTATCCTGGCTTTGACATGGAAAACTGGAAAGACCCGCCGAACGGTATACCCGAAGATTTTAACGCTTTCATATTAAAACTGCTTTGCTATCACGGATACGAACCATGCCTGAAAGACAGTTTCGAGCTTTTTTCAAAATGGAAAAACGACAAAAATCGTCACCAAATGGTTATTCATCCATACATTAAGGATGCCATTTTTCCAACTGTTTCACGACACGGTTCGATTGAAGACTGGGAATTTATGTATAACCGAACGGAATCAAATTTAGACGATTTGTCTTTATTCCAATTATGGCTTACGAAGGACTCAAATCTGATTCGTCGGATCCTGAACGAGCGATTTTTTTCAGCCAATCAGATACAAGCTCAGGGCCCAAAAATTCTAAATACGATGTACTTAGCTTGTCGAAATAACATGCCAGCTTCAATGGTTGTGTGGAATTTCATCAAAACTAATTGGAATCAGCTTAGTTTGACCTTTGCTGGGGTAGATATTTTCGGCGAACTTTTACTGTCTATTTTCTCAAACTTTGACTCAACCAGCTCATTACATGAACTTTTACACGCAGCATCAACTTTGGAAGATTTGAATGATGGATTTTACTATTCATTGTCTCTTGAAAGTATAACTTTTAATATTAGGTGGTCAAAATTTTACCTTGCAGAGTGTATAAAAACTCTTGAAGATTTAACAAAATAGCAAAAAACTACCATTTTTGTACTTTTTTATTGCAGTTATCATACTTATCAAAAAATGTTTAGATTATAGGACTAAAAATAAACAATTAAATTCAATTTGTTTCTGAGAAACAAAAAATGAGTCGGCCAAAGTTCGAAGCATGTAAACAATCTGAAACAGAAACTGATGAGCTTCCACCATGATTATTGAACAAATTTTCAGCTTCTATGACCTGATTCTTATAGGTTATTAACTAATTTAACCCCCTCTAACTAACCAAAAACAATCGGAAAGTTTACTGAGAACAAATTGAAAAACTCGAAAAAATTGAATTTTTTTGAAATTCTTTTTTTATTTTTTCCTCTGTACAAATTCTATACAAACTTAATACAAATTCGTTCTCAGGAATTCGTTCACAGAACTTTTTCCCCTGATTCATTACAAAGATAAGCTTGGTCTAAACATTCTGTGCTAGTTGCCCAGATCTCGACTATCCTTGTTCTCAAAAGTTTTCATATAATCACAACTTCGGAAAACACGAAAAAGGCCAAATAGCTTCCTTTGTACCAAACTATCTTGAGTAAGGTAATTTGAAGCAGGGGCCGATTTAGAGGGGAGGGGGTGGTTGAGGTGGGGCTGACGCATTTTTCTCCTTCTGGGATTCGATCCCTTGCCGACCCAAAGGATTTATCTTTTGGTACTATTTGAAGACATATATTTTTGGCTGACCGACCCTAAAATTTTTTCTAAGGGCGGCAATAAATATTAATTTTAGGAGAGACCGCGCGCCGAAAAAACTCAATATTTTACCAAAACTTTCCAAAAAGAGCCTCAAACGCTTTTTTGGCCTCTTCTTTTAATAAATTTGCCTTAGGCGAAGAAAATTTGGTAAAAATAGTGTCTTTGTAGTGATTTGTGAGAGCTCAGAATATCAATTTGGTCCAGGTACCTAAATAAAGGTCGGCAATACTTTCGAAATTTTCTATGAAAACCCGTTTCCTTTTCAAAAAATCTTAAATCCGCCCCTGATTTGAGGCATGATAGATCACAAATCTTCTGCGGTTGAACGATGACCTGCAATTTTCAAATTCGATAATTTTTGTATTTGATATTTTCCAATTGTGTTCTATTTTTTGTACAATTATAGGAACTTTGAGAGTCTATAGGAGCTGTTTCAGCATACTTAAGTTACCAGTGGCGGGCGAAACTTAATCTGATGACTAGAATTTAATTTTTTGAGTACTGGTTTTAAAGTTTATTGAATAGTTTGTCTGTTGAATTAATCGTAGTACTGTATTTCGAACAAAATTCTGTTGTTGGAAACTGCCTCCTAAGTCTCGATGTCCAATTTTTGTCGCAAAATAGTCGCAATTTTGCACAAAATCAAATCATGGGTCAAACAAGGTCGAATCATGAGTCGAACAGGGTCGATAGAAACGAACAGGGTCGCATGATTAATTAAAATGTGAAATCCAATTTTCCTGAATTGTTTGTTTTGCGATACCTTTTTTCAGCCTTTGATGTCTTGAAAAAATTTCAAAGTTGATTGTAAAATTAATTTCATTGAGAAAAAACTCATTTTTAGAAAATGCTAGTGATACAATTCCCATGTATGGTCATATATTTTCATTATGGAAGGATGCTAGTCAAACATTTCTCATATATGAGAATTGTATGACTAGCATTTTCTAATAGAAAAGTTGTACTTAATTTAGGCCAAGTTGGTCAAAACATAGCCATTTTTGGTCGACTCAGTCAAAACAACCAGTTTTGGTCGAGTTGGTTGAAAGACATCCTAATAAGACCTCAACCTGGGCTATACGAAGCTACGATCTTCAAATTTGTGGCGTTTTCTATTATAATTTGCAACTGCCCAGGCTGAGGTTTTTGGCACTTGATTGGACAAAAACGGTCAAATGATGTCCGAGTCTAGTCGTAAAATAGGACGGTTCGGTTAATTCCCGGTAAAGCGGAACGATATCCGATAAAGTCGAACAAATTCAAACACTGTCCGGTAAAGTCGAACAAAATCTAACAATGTGCGGTATAGTCAAACAAAGTCGAACTTAGTCGAACAATGTCCGGTATACTTGAACAAAGTCAAAAAAGATCGAAAAATGTCCGTTAAAGTCTACAAAATTCGAACAACCTCGAAAAACGTCTGGTATTGTCGACCAAAATCAAGCAAAGTCTAACAATGTCCGGTACATCGTTCGAATCAAAAGGTTGAAAACGGACATCGTTCGATCATTACGATCAAATCATGAGTCGAGCACCTCAAACCATGCTCGGGAAACTTTTGAACATGTAAGATCAACATTAAACGTTTGTAAGCTTTGAGCAACTTAACCTCATTGTTTTTAAAGGATACTCTATCAACGGATGGGTTAGCCGAAAACTTAGCCACCCGCACAAAAAAGTATTCCACTGTTATTTTTATCCATAATGCCAAACTTGTACCAAAAATTGGTTGCTTATTTTTAGCGCATTTGAACGCGTTCGCTAGCATCTCAAAATTGTTGAAACTTGGAAAGCATACGTTAAAAACGTTCAATACAATAGCCTGACACAGTAGTAGTTGTAAATAAATTTTAAAAAAATTCAAAAAAAAAATTGAGATTCCGAGTTTCTAAACAGGGTTTTAGTTATATGATCACCGCTATATGAGGACGAGGTCTTCCCGATTTTATCCGTCCCTAAATGTGGAAATGAGAAAAAAATTGGATAGTTTTTTTTTAAACAAAATTGGAAAGAAATTTTTCAACAATTTGACCTGATTTGGCCTCAAACATATTTTTTTCTTTATATATTTTTTTGTTTTCTCTATAAAAATTTCACAAACGAAAACCCAATTGTGCTCTAAAATACAATTTTGACTGAAGTTCTAAGCATAAAAAATATTAATTTACAGAAAAAGAAATAGATTTCAGATCATTTTTAAGTCATTTTTATGAATACACTAAAACTTTGATTTTCTTTTATAGATAATGACCATAAAATAATGCAGTTAAATTTGCATAGATTTTATCCTTTATACCTTTATCCCATAATCATTTCTAAAAACAAAAAGGATAGTCGGTTACTTTTTAAGTAGCACAGAATGCTCGACCATAGTTTAAAAAAACAAAGTGTTTTCAAAATATTGGAGTTTTCTTTTTTCAGCATGGTGTGATAAAAGGAGCTGATCAAAAAACTGGGATTAGGTGTATTTGAAAGTGATAATAAAATAAGCTAAATTAAATACAGTTTTTTTTACAAAAATCACTTGAAAAATTTTTTAAAATCTTTTTTTTTCAAGCTTTGCAGTTTTTTGAGTTTTTGAAAGTTTTGATTCCAAAAAGGCGCTGAAATACTCAAAGTAAACAAAAGTTACTCAAATAAAACTAAGTTCATACGGTTTAATTTAGGCTTTTGTAATCTTTTGAAATAAGACTGCTCGCTCGCTTTATTCGCCGCTCGAAATAATCGAAAGATGAAAAATTTCACGACATGGGGAAATGTTTTTTTGACATTAGGAAAATTTTTCTTTGAATTTCCAAAAGTGATTCGAATCACGACCCTAAGGGATTCAATATGATATAGCATTCAATCAGTTCGTTGATTGTTTGTGGTACCTGATTTTGCTTGGAGAACAAAAACAAATTAAAACACCCAATTACAAAGTTTTTCCCCATTTTCCATAGTCGGAACAATATAATTGTGATACAAAAATAATACATAATATATACAGACTGTATACAAATTCTTTATAGTTTCTCTAGAGATTACAAATTAGATTCATATTAAGCCAGCATAAAAACAAGGATAGCCGGTTACTGTGCAAATAGTTGTCGTTTTCAATAGTTGTCGTTTTCTTCTGCTTGTTGTGATCAAAAGATCCGTTACATGTTGTGATAAAACAATCAATAGAACGTAGGCACATTTGAGAATCATAGTGAAGGAAGTCAATCGAAAAACAGTTTTTGAAAAAACATGCCGAAAAAGCGCTTTAAGATACTTTTTGGAAAATTTTGACCGAAAAAATTGCATTTTTTTGGCGCGTGCTCCCACCTCAAAATGAGTATATTTAGGCGCCAAAGGCGCTTTTAGAAAAATTTAGTGCCATTCAGCAAAAAATGAACAACACAAAATAGTATAAAAGGGGGACCCTTTGGGTCGGCAGGGTGTCAAATCCCTGAAGAAAGAAGGCGTCCGCATTCCCACCGCCACCGCCCCCCTTAACTACTTAAGTTTTTAAAATGGTCGGAACAATGATTGTCTCCAGCTTTTATGTAGGTTATTTGTATATTAACTAAAGATATTATCTATTTAGATATTAAGATTGCAGATTATCTCGGATTTCATACAATTATGTTTCCAATTATGTTTAGATTTGGCAGTGATTATGTTCAGTTAAGCAAATATAATCAGACATTGATTGCGACTGTGCTCAGACTTTGTTTGATACAATATTTAGACTTTGTTTCAAGACCCTCTTTTTATATAATTGATTTTTTTTTGTCAAAATATGGTAGGGAGACCTGAGAAATGCATAAAAGTGCATTTCAAAAAAATTTCAAAATTTTTTAGCAGAAATCTTTTCGAAATTTCAAGTTTTTAACTCGAGTCCAAAACTTACTTTTACTCGAGTATAACTAACTTTTCATGGCTTATATAAGCTATTATAAGCGTACACCGTCACCTTATTAGCCCGAAATTAGACCAAAAATCAAAATTTTGAAACCCGTTTTTCTCGACACTGTGAAAAAATTTCCAAAATGTTTTAATTTCGTTCAAGTCACGAGTGAAAAATTTATCTTTTAAAGTGAAAAATTTAGCTTAAAATGATTTACCACTCGAGTCATTCCGATAATTATTTGTGGTACCTGATTTTGCGTGGCCAAAAAGAAAAAAAACTAAAACACACTCGACTAAAATGTTCCTCCCCATTTTCAATGGTCGTAACAATGATTGTCTACAGCTTTTATGTAGGTTATTTGTATATTAACTAAAGATATTATCTATTTAGATATTAAGATTGCAGATTATCTCGGATTTCATACAAATTTTTGTACCGGGACGTATGTCCAGTTTTTCCCTACAAG